TTAGAATGTTGACAGAGTAATTAATAGTGTATTAACATCGTGTGGTGCTACAGCTACTCACATGCTACTGTGTTGTTTACTTGCTTATGTTGTTTTGGTCCGTCTGTGTGTGTACTATAATTTTAGTGCCTCAACAAGGCTTCTTACTATTTCCAGTGTATTTCAGGCTTATATATAAAACACAAAAATGCCAGTATCGATAGAAAATAGTGATGATGTACATACTCCACATCTGAATATAGCTTGGGGCCTTCTCCTTGACGTTTGGTACAGTTATAAAAAGGGGCGTAAACAGCACCATAGATAGTGATAGACCTTTTGGTCGGTTGAAAAAGAACTCAGTCTGTCCAGTAGTAGGAAACCTGCACAGGCGAGAAGACACTTAGATAGAGTTACCAATGTATGTGCTCCTTGTTCATTCTTTGTAATGCATTAAAGCAAGACAATTTCATACCAAAAGAGTGTAATTTGTTGTCACATAATTTACTTCTTGTTATCTTTTTTACGTTATTAAACTCATATATCTACAGTTAACTTTTGTTTTTGAGGATTCTTGCCATTATGTAGAGATAGAAAACATTAAATTTCAGCGTAGATAAACAAAGAGCAAAATATACTTACGATGCACAGTCATCATCAGTAGACTCTTCATCTGTTTCTGTTTGAGGGGGCAGAAGTTGGGGATCACTTAATGACAGTGCCTCTTCCATAACTTCCCTATCAACCTCACTGCTGTTCACCACACAGGTATGCTCCTCTTGCCTAATAAAATAACATTTACAAAGGAACAATAATCATTAGAAAGAATATCCAGAAGAAGGTATTATGAATTTGCTACACAAGTCAGACAATAAACATGTATCTATATATAAAGGTAAACAGCAAGGCTGTCTGGGCTGGTCTGAATAGAGAACACTCTGCCCAACACGGGTTCCAGTTCCAGCCCCTTGAGCTACAGGATGACTACAAATTTTGAATCAGCACATGTAAGTACATTGACTAGTATAGCAATCTACAATCTTGTTCCATTGCCAAGAAAGGAAACGAACAATATTTATTGGAATCTTTTATACATGTGAAAAGATAATGAATTTGAGGGGCAGCAAAAAGTTTCCAGGCCAAACATTCCAAAATCGCAAGGATAACAAATAAAACAGAGAAGCCCTGGTGTTGGGCTGGTGCCAAGGCATTACAGCAGCTCCTTTGTACGTCGCTGCCACCAGCTGCTTATGCTGCGATGGGTTTTTTGTCGTGTTTTTTTTTTCTTTGCAGCGAGTGGTCCTGTTATTCTTTGGGAGTTGGTTTTGCTTCTCCTTTGGTTTTTTTCATTTTTCTATACTTAATGAAATGACACGCAGTTTTCTTGCGCAGTTCAAGAAGAAAAAAACAGAGAAGCCCTTATGACTTCAGATTACACAATACTTCTATACAGCTAGGGTCGAAAAATGCTCACTGGACAGCAGTTCTATGCAATTTCCTATCCCTTGAAGCTAGTAAACATCAAAAGTACATGGATCCCTCAAAGAGCCTCGGCTACATTTACGTCCCTACAAAGAACTTTTTGTTTTCTGTAGCTGTGATTTAATTGTGAAATGCTAGAAGGGTATGAAAAGTTAGCCTAGCTTGTAACTGATACGTATAGGACAAGATTGTTCATTTCTTGATCATTCTTTGTTCTCTGGATAGATACACATGGTGGTTGTCCTAGCATGCAAGTTGGATTGGTTCACAGAGCAAATGATGACCTCTTGACCATAATGTGTTTAATGGTTTGCTGCTGACAAATAAAGCAGTAAAAAAATATAACTAGGAAGACTGAAATGGTTCTGTTGAACAAAAACACATTTTTTAAACAGGCAAGCAATATCCACCATATCCCACCAATATAAAAAGGGAATCTTTTGGGGAGCAAGAAACAAATAGCAGTCCAAAATTTTGCTATGATACGCAATTTTTGGTTGTACAAACCACTGGTAGCACAATACATGCTTGCTTTTTGGGGTCCGAGGCAGTTTGCTAATTTGATTGGATAGTTAAACTAGTACAAAAACCGGCTTTACTCCCGGTTGGAAAACCCTTTCAGTCCCGGTTTTCCAACCGGGAGCAAGAATCCGGGACTAAAGGGCCCCTCCTTTAGTCCCGGTTTCTCGCCCGAGGACTAAAGGTAAGACCAACCGGGGCTAAAGAGGCGTCCCGGCCTAGCCACGTGGGCCGGCCCTTTAGTCCCGGTTGGTACCGACCGGGACTAAAGGTTTTTTTTTTGTTTCTATTTTCTTTTGATGATTCGTTCGCATTCACGCTGCTACCGTTTCTTTTGATGATTCGTTCGCATTCTATGCTGTTACCGGGTTTCTATTTTCTTTTGATGATTCATTCGCATTCTACGCTGCTACCGGGACTTTCTATTTTCTTTTTTTTGTTTCTATTTTCATTTGATGATTCGTTTTGGCTTTCGAATACGCATTCTACGCTGCTAGAATATACGTAACATTTTGTACAAACTAAAGTATCAAGGAAAGTCCTATCGACCAGATCCGTTTCAAGTAAAGTCGTGTTGCATGGCTCCAGACCTGAGCTTTTAAGTTAGCTTTCACTCTTCTGAGCAAGCTAGGTGGTGCTAATTGGTGGGACTGGTCAGCAATTCCAGCATATTGCGTACTAGGCCGCTCCTATGTGTGGGCTTCAGGTCGAGCCGGCCCATCGAGGCTCTTGTAAACACCCGGGACTAAATGACCTTTAGTCCCGGCTGATAATACCAACCGGGACTAATTGATTTGGTCGTGTTCAGTTGTATCGGTGTCAGCTCAAAAGACTGCCTGTTACACAAGCTTTAGTCCCGGTTGGGGACTAAAGGTGCCTTTCTAATCATTTAAATCCACAGATAATGTATATTTGTATGTAGGTATCTCTGAAGCTCAAAAGACTCTCTGAAGCTTTACTCCCGGCCAAGCACACAAGCTTTACTCCCGGCCAAGCACACAAGTACTCCCGGCCAAGCACACAAGTACGCTACTTCCTAGTACAAGTAAAGCACGACAACAAATGCAAGCAGGGGACAGCACCCTGTCAGTTTCAGCTCAAAAGACTGCCTGTTACAGTTTCAAGCTTTAGTCCCGGTTGGAGACAGCAACCGGGACTAAAGGTCCCATTCTAATCCCGGACGTAGCCTCCAGCTGAGAGTAGACTTTTACTCCCGGTTGGAGGGACCAACCGGGAGTAAAAGTTAACATTTAGTCCCGGTTGGTAGCTCCAACCGGGACTAAAGGTCCCCTGCAGCAAAAGTCTGCCGCAGTAGCCGTTGGGCATGACCTTTAGTCCCGGTTAGACCTACAAACCGGAACTAAATGTCTCTCTAGTCCCGGGCGCGAAATATATTGGGACTAAAGCCAAATTTCAAGCTGGATCAAAGGCGTTTCTCTACTAGTGTTTAAAATGATTCTCATAACAGATAAATGGCGCAACCATACAGCTACTTCTTGCATTATTCACATGGCTTGTCAACGAAAAAGCCAATGTCTATGGGAGCAAAAAATAGCAGAGTATTTTCCAGCACAATAACCTGGGAACGGGAACTAAGCACACGATCAGTTTTACAGTTCAGAGGTTAGAGCGATAACTTTTAGCAAAAAAAGTAATGAATATATGGATCTGTGTGTGCCGTCTCTTCTCACTTTACAATTTGTACCATATGGCACCGACTTAAAGTGCTACCACAAGAAATTCGGCACTTTTCCTTAGTAGATTTAGATGGTGAATGGTGTGGGTCCCATGAAATTGCATATGGCCGAGGGCAACTGAATTTAAAAAGTGGAACATAAGAAAAGAACTCACTCAGAGCGAGGTGCATAATCAACATTAGTCATTTCAGCTGTTTCTGGGGTGGAAAGTGAAGGGTCGCTCAAAGACAGCGCTTCAAATGTTGGCAAATCCATAACCGGACTATGAAGCTCGCTGCTTCTCACCGCGCTAGCCTCAGCCCTGATTAAAAACATATTATAGGAAAGATCATAAATGCAAAGAACAGAGAGAAAAAAAAGTATAAATTTGCTATGGAAACAAACACAAGCCAGGTATTAAACATATAATAAAGGTAAAAAAACAGCAACTTACCTTGCCAGTCTTCTTGGTCGAGAATGCCTTGGGCGGTTCGAATAGAGAACACTTTGTCGAACACGTATTCTACCTTCAGGTCCAGGATGACTATGAATGTTGGAATCAACAAACTTGGTTAGGTTTGTAACAGCAATCTACTATGTTGTTCGATGTTCATGGAATGCAAGAAAGTATTGTTCATTAAATTCTACCCAATAAAAAAATAAAGCATTAGTTTTGAGGGGCAACGACAAAAGGTTTTGCAGCCAAGCACCAAAAAGATGCCAACACTTCTCAGCAATTTTAGTTGTACAAGTCTAAGAGCTTAGGAGTGTGGGTGTGTGTTGTAAGGGCTCTTGCCCCCTTCTCTTCTTAATACAAAGATACGCAGCTCTCTTGCGTGTTCGAGCAAAAAAAAAAAATAGTTGTACAAAGCAAGATGCACAGTATGTGCGCAATGGTAGTTTCTAAGCAGATGAGGGCAGCTGTTTCTTGCAGGGGGCTAGTTTTCTGGCCAATTTTAGAGAGCTTTCAGGAGAAATCGACCACATGGGAAGGGCAATACTATCCACAATCCGTGCCGTTCATCAACAAGAAAAATCGATCTTTTCACCAGGAAGCAAAAAAAAACAGGCATAATATTTTTCAGCAACATCTATCAGGTGGGGAGTAGAATTAAGCACACAAGCTTAAGGGAATGTCTTTTTATATGGAGTAAAAAAGAATGATTTCGTTAAGTGTCTGTATCTAGTGTCTCAGGTCACTTTGCAATTCCTACTATGTGGAGCCAATTCCAGGTCATATTGCAAGCAATTCCATCCACAGTAGATTGAGGGAGAAAGATGGAGACTAATATTCGTCGGACTGCGTATGGGAAAGGAAAAGCAGAAGAAGAGGACAGGACTCACTCGGAGGATGGCGCAGCTGAGGAAGAAGCCTGAGACAGGAGACTTTGTCGCCGGTGGCTAGGGATGCCGACCATGAGGTGCTGTCCTGATTCGTTGGTTACCCAACGGGTTTGGAGTTCGATTCCTCTGGGAGGTAGCCGGCGAGCAGGGGAGCCTGGGTCCCTGGCACCACCGTCCATCGTCGGCGCCGCGGAGGAGGATGCCTGGGACCCGGCCCCAGATCGGCGGTGGCAGCGGCAGCGGCGGCGGCGGCTCACGACATCGGCACGGGATGCTGGGTCGGGACCGGCGGCAACGTCCTCCCAGAGCGGCCCGAAGCGGTCCGTGATCGGTTGGAGGTTGCCGAGGCCGAACCGCGGCCGCGGGAGACCGATGCCTTCCTCTGCTGTGAGCGGAGCCACAGTACGACCGTCACCTGCGTGGAGAGGAGTCCCTCTGCGCGGTGGAGCGCCGGTTGCGCGGTGGGGATCTGCGCCGTCGGCCATGGCGGTCGAGCTGCAGGCGGCGGGTTTGGGCTTTGGACGGTGGTGTATTAGCGTGTGTGGGTCGCTCGCGTCCCTCACAGTCACAACTCACAAGCTAGTACTACTACTTCTCGCTACTGAATGGTGACTGCTCCTGTGCTCCACTCCCCCCCTCTCTCTCTCTTGTGCAGCGTGCTGTATTATTACGGTAGAGGAGAGGAGATGCCTGGCACGTAGGCCATAAGGCTAAGCGGAGAGGTCACTCGTCACGACCACGGGTACCGAAGCGCACCCTGCGTTTGGTTTAACTTTGAAGAGTGTTTCTACTGTCAAAACTGGTAAAGTAGAGAACACCAACTAAACTGGTAAAACATAAAGCTCTTTTTCGAAGCGAATTCTTTCGCATAGCATAACTTCTGTACTTTTTCCTTTCAACTTTTCACCTTTTACAGATAGGTGGAAACTGACAAATATTTTATAGCTGTTTGAAGGCAAGGGGTAGGTTTCATACTTGTTTCAACCAAATAGCTTATGTCTTTAGAAGAAGATGCTGAGTTGGGAGACTCGCCTAGAGTCTTTTGAAGATAGAGAAATCCAATTAAAAAGGTCGTTGAAAGGTATTGTTTTACCAAAATCTCTATTCCTAGAGTCTTTTGAAGTTGCTCTGATAGGAAGACTAATTTTTTATCACACATGTTCTAGCCATTAGTCCATTAATTGAGGAAATAAACATATTCAACTAATTTTAGCCAGCTTATTATTAGCCCATATCATACACTTAGGACTAGCTAGTCTCCAATTCAAAGGGGTTGAGACTTGAGAGGAGTTTAATTCCTTCTTACAAATTAAAATCTCCCTCAATCGGCTCTAATCCATTCAGATTTAAGACTAACTGAACAAATGCTTAGTGTGTTGCCTAACGAAAGGATCGGACGCGCGGAGATGCATGATCAACCGAAAAAGGTTCCCCAATAATAAGAGACATATAGTATAATATCAGCTCTCTCAGAAATTAGATCTGTCATTAATTAGATTACATATGAGTTTATTTATTTACATTAATATATGTAGACCTTAAAGCCCTAGCACCGGCTAAGCGGAGGGGTTAATGTGGCACTCGTCACGACCAAGGTTAATTCTTTGCTAATACACGTTTTCAAACCTCAAGAAGCGAATTAAGTTAGGATACACTAGGAACAAGAGGGAAGAAATAAACAAAGCGAATTTGGTTAAGGAAGAAGCAAACCAAATTAAAAGCAGGCACACTAGCTGGTTGATAATGGAACTTACCGTGGGTTAGATTTTTTGTCGATCCAGTGATGATGGACGGCGGCGGCTGGCCGCTACGGTCCTCCTTGAATCGTTGATAGTCTATCGCAGGGCGGCCGGCGAGCTTTGACGGCAAGCGATTCCAACCGGGAGGCGCACTATTCTATAGCGATGTGTGTCACCGGAACCTGTATATATATACTTATTATTATTACTGTAAATACATCATCAAGCGATAATCGATGCAAGACGACATAAGGACGAAGACGTGTTCGAATTCGAATATATTCCATATACTTACAAATACATCATCCATATATGCATAAACAATGACGAAGGAGGTGGTGCACTCCAAATTCGACTCGGAATTGGCCCCACGTGTGTACATAACTCGGAGTACAGAGATCTGATTTGTTTTCTAGTGTAATAAACCTCCGGTACAAGTATTTGGTTCAGAAACCAGCGGCGCACGGTTTGGCTAGACAGGGCCACATGTTGCACCCTCGCGGCCGTGTGGGAGCAGCTTTGTAAAAATATACAAAACGAAACAGCAGAAAAGAAAGAAAAAAACAAAAAAAAAAATCCCACTACCCTACTAGCCTTGACGAATACTACTACAGTCATATCTGGGACTGTTTCGCTCCATGTGTTTTTGGCTCTATTTTACGTTTTTTGCCTGCTTCTCGATCGTGAACCACCCGCTTCATCTAGTGTGTCTGGGATCTCTACAAGGACATACATGGTGTCCGCAATGTTTTCCCCTGCGCAGGGGAACATCAGGAGTAGGGCGCCCCAGCATAGTCAACATGTCATGCTAAACGGCTTTGGCTAGAGCACAACTATTGGCTCGACGCATTGTGGTCTAGCCCTATGCATTCACGTTCAAGCTCCCACCGTTCATCCTTGAGTCTAGTTCGCATGGCCACGAGTCATGCGGCCTTCTCCTCGAGGTATTGGTCCCGAATTGGGTGAGGGGGCATGCCCTCAAGGGTTGGGTAGAATGGGACCTCACGAGCCATTCTACCCCATCATGAAGCACTCAGTGCTCCAGGCGATAGCTCGTGAGGTCCACGAAGTTGTCATCTAAGCCATTGCTCGAGAATGTGGTGGATCGAGTCCGCCTTGAATCCTATCATCCTGATGAGCGCGTTTGAATTGTCGGACAAAGTGAGCTCATCCATTCCCTGGATAAGTACCACATGTCAGAATCAGTGCTCTGGGGGCAGATAGGTTCCCTTGGTCAGCTAGTGCTAGCCAATCAGTGCTCTGGGGGCAGATAGGTTCCCTTGGTCAGCTAGTGCTCGACGTTGGCTAGCATGTAGAACATCTGTTGTCACCCCTTGTCAGTGAGGCTCATGCCAAGGTCAAGGTGGATTTACCGGGCGAGGGTTTCTAGATTGACCCACAGAAGGTCAACCAAAAGCAAAGGTATCAGGGTCTCCGCATTCCCCGACGCCACCCTAGCGTTGAGACTAAACTTGCCAAAGCGATCGGCGAAGAAGTTCAGGCTCTCAAAGCTAAGATTCTAGCCTATAGGAAATGTGACGCCAACAGAAAGAGCTCCACTGCTGAAGCAAAATGGTGCCTTCGGGGCGACGCCATCAACTCCAGGACCACCGGTGGTATGGGCGATCAATGCTGGGAAAACGCACATGATGTTCCCCTACCTGGTGCGCTAACTGTGGTGGGTTCATTCACGATGAGTAATTAAAATGTTGATGTGTGGGCTTTGATGGCCTACCACTAGAGATATTTAGAGTTTATCCTGGTTCGGGCTGGCACCCTACGCCCAACACCGTTTTGGTGTTCAAGTGTTTAGGGAGTAGTAAAAAAGAGTAGGGGAGAGAGATGTGTGGGTACAAGTCTTGAGAGCTCGGAACCTCGTACCTGGTTGTCTAACGATCTATGGATCCTCTTTTCTACCGTTGTCCTTATCCCACCTTATATATTTGGAGATAGGGACATACAAGTGCTTGGTGATGGGGGGGCTATATATAAGGGGGTGGTGCAGCGTAGGATCTCCGGGATGCGCCGTGGTTCCTGGTTCGGATCTCGATGTCTTGTCTCCTACATGGATCATTGGAGATGTCGCCCCGCGCTACATGAGTTGCACGGTGAAAGCCCTAGTTTGGTTTTCGATAATTGATGAAACCCTTGGACTAACTTTGATCTAAGTGTGTGAATTAGATAAGGTAGTCCAATCCAAGTGGTGGAGCTAGATGGTGGTCATGGTGAAGGTAATGGCCACAAAAGAGATGATCAAGTGCTCCATCTTGGAAAAGAAGAAAGAGAAAAACAAAAACCAAGGAGATCAAGGCAAATGTATCTAATAGGTTTTTGTTTTGGCACTCAAGACACCATAGAGGGTGTGAGTGTGTTTAGGATCGATAGCCGTACTATAAAGAGGGGAAATCTTTGGCTAAGTGGTTATCGAGTGTGTAAGGAAAATGGACCCTAGGCCCATTTACTTTGGATTTTGGTGTTTGATGACCAACACAACTAAATTGGACTAAAGAATTTGCAAGTGTTTGTTTTGTAGTTCAATAGGGTGCAAGACGTGACTTGGGCGAAGGCGACGTGATGATCCGATGATCAACACCATAAGCAAGACCTTAGAAGCACAAGAGAAGACCCAAGATATCAAGAAAAGTCCAAGCACAAAGATAGGAACCAAGCCAGACGCAAGATCACGAAGAAATGAGCTCACAGAGGGCACCGGACGCTGCATAGGACGCAGCACAGGACGTTGCACCGGACGCTGCACAGGACGCTGCACCGGATGCTCTGATGCACAAGACGCTGCACCGGACGCTGCACAGGACGCTGCACCGGACGCTCCGATAAAGAGTCCCGGCAACAACAGAGTCAACAGCAGCGACCGGACGCTGCACCGAACGCTGCACAGGACGCTGCACCAGACGCTCCAATGCACAGGATGCTGCACCGGACGCTGCACAGGACGCTGAGTGCCAGAGTCCGGTCAATATCAGTAAGGTTCCAGAGAGTCATTTTCGTGACCGGACGCGTCCGGTCAGTGCTGACCGGACGCTGGTCAGAGTCCGGTCAGTAGCAGAAAAGCGGGATTTCGTCCCCAACGGCTACTTTCTCAGTGGGGCTTATAAGTACAACCCCCAACCGGCTATTTGAGGTGTGTGGAGTTGAGGAAACATACCAAGGGTGTTGATACACCATTTTAGTGATCTCCACTTGCATAGTGCTTAGTGTTTCATTAGGTGATTAGTGTAGGTGCTTTACGAAGTGCTTAGGTTGATTAGACCACCGCTTATGCGCTTGCTCTAGGTTTAGGCCTAGTATTTAGTGAGGTTTGCATACCTCTTACCACTCGGTGCTTGCGAGCACCATTGTTGTACATCAGAGGGGCTTGAAGTCTTGCGAGATCACACCAACTACGTTTGTGTTGTGGCCGCCACCGTGTACCGAAGGGAACAAGGCCCGCGGCATTTTGGCCGAAAACTTGATAGTGAAGACGGCGTGGAGCATCCAGGAGAGGCTTGCCGGAAGGCACATCGGAGACCCACTTCCATGTGGGGAAGGCCCGAGGCTATCCACGGAGTTACCCGACCAGGAGCTTGGCCCTTGCGATGGATTCCTTGCGAGGGGCTCCAATGAGGACTAGGGGGAAGCTTGCGCGCTTCTCGATACCTCGGTAAAAATACTGGAGTCGTCGATGGGAGTTTGCATATCTCTACCTTGCTATTTAGCTTCCGCATTTACATCAATTGTATTACTTC